TTGAAGATGAATGTCTTGTGGAATCTTGCAACTGTGTACTCTGGTAGAAAGCTATAATTATATTAGTAGCCGCGAGAACCCGAAGTCTTTCAAAACTTTATTTTATTCAGCATCTTTGATGCATAAGAAGCCTATTTCATTGTCTGTCAGCCAGTCCTCCAGTTAAAAACATATGGCGATCATAACAATTCCTAACAAGTACGTATATTAAAACAATTAAACTAACCAGAATTTGCTTAATTTGAAGTCTTCACAGCGCTGAGGGTAATGACTATATATTATTCTGATCAGATTCGAGTGCTTCGGAGAAACATACTGCCTCCATCTTCAGGGCTGCCCCCATATTTATTTCTGACGATGGGTACATACATTTTTCGAAACTTGGGATATACTGACGAGTCTACACGGCGTTAAAACCCAGAGAAACATAGAACGTTTGTTTGTATCAACTGCAATACGTAGCTATTTAAAATCTTGGAAACAAAATTTGTGTGAATTTTTAACACTGTCATAATTTCACTTTTGGATACACTCGAAACATTGTATATTATTAAATTATAAGCAACATAAAGGCTAAATGCTAAATATAAATTTCAGAACCAGAGGAGTGAGTGCCTGGAACAAATGTTTTTACCCCTGGTTTCCGAAGACGTCTTGACGTTGAACGTAAAAAATTTCGATTTCATCATATCTGATATGTCAAAAACAGAAGCCACAGGCTATTCTGTACTCTCGTTGTACGTCTCTTTTATATTCTCACTTCCTTTCTTGTTGAACTAAAATTCGCATCACAAATTAGCTCCCATGAGGCCTCATTAGTTCACTGTGCCTAGTACATGTTGTTACCACCGCGTCGCTACTGTAACCCCCCACGTAATCTGCTACGGAAACGTTCAGTTGTAACTGAGGCAGAAACACATTCCTTTGCCATCTTAGATGATACATTTGAGGCATTTAAGCCTTCTGAGCAACGCACTTTACACGCTGTGTGTGTGTGTGTGTGCACACGCAGTTATAAATTCGTAAGTACAAATTTCTTTTTCTTTCCAAGACGTTTGCACTTTTCGTGTGTCTTATGAAACCCAAACCACTCCATCTAACACAGCCTTTGTACAGCTCGCCGTCCATCTCAGATTTGTTCTATTAACCTCTACATCCTTTCCTAACTTGTTTCCATCGTGATCCTGGTCTCTCTGTTGGACGTTTCAGATTACTGTCTTATTCAAATTATTCTTCGTCTATTCTTCAAACGTGAGTTCGTTTATCTTGTTAGCTTACCTGTCATGGCGTTTACCATCAAAGTCTGTAAATCGAACATTTCGATAGAGACCATCATTTTAATATATTTTAAATATTTAAATGTTAGTTGTAATATTTTAATATTTAATAATAATATTTCATTGTGATTAGACTGATAAAATTGAACAAGTCTGTATAATTGTTTATTTTTTTTTGTTTTCCATTCCATAATTCTTGAAAATGTAATCTCTCGCTACAGTTAATCTATACAGTTATGTGTCTTCGTGTGAGTTTAGGGTTATGTTCCGTAGATTAATTTCTCCGGAACGTTGGTATCAAACTAATAATCTACACGGCGTCACATCCCAGAACTTCGTAATTCGTAAATCTCGACTTGAGTCCTTTTCTCTCGATTTCAAATAAAGCTTAGATTGTCCACTGCACAGAACGTAGTATACATTGTAGGTGTCATTTTGGAGAACTCCCGACTGCGTAAACCTCCGTTGCTTCCAAAATGAAAATGTTTGTTACTTGAAATTGCTGTTTGCCAGGAGTTTCCTTAAGTATATATTAAATCTTGTCCGTCTAATCACAATAAATTCTTATTAAATATTTAATTTTACAATAATTAACATTTTAAAATATTTAAAATATTAAATGATGTTCTTTATCGAAATATTCGATTTACATTAGACCATCATTTTTCATGTTTCACGACATGTTTCAGTTCCTAAAAGAACCATCCTCAGGACAATAATTCTTATTAAATATTAAAATATTACAATAATTAACATTTTAAAATATTTAAAATATTAAATGATGTTCTTTATCGAAATATTCGATTTACATTAGACCATCATTTTTCATGTTTCACGACATGTTTCAGTTGCTAAAAGGACCATCCTCAGGTGTATATAATTATATAAAGCTTCAAAACGATAAATAATTCAAATAAAATTTTCATACATTATGCTAATATTTTAATATTGAATAAGAATTTATTGTGATTAGACGGACAAGATTTAATATATACTTATTATATCACAATATGACGCAACTTTACCATATTAGGAGTTTCCTTGTCTTAATATCACCGTTGTGTCAAGTACTGTGCTGATATTGTAACGTGTATCTCATTAAGATAGCATTCTTGTCTCCCTCCTCTCCAACCCTCGCTGTAATCCATACACCAGCCACCTAATGTTATTACTACGGCTTATCCAGACCACGGCAAAGTCGTTTATGTCTACTTGGCACACGTTAGAGGTCTCTGTTAGTAACTACAAGTAGTTTCCTCCCCTTACAGTGTTTTCGAAAATTATCTGAAGGTGCACAGCCATTTTGTTTTGTAGTACGTGCCAAATATCGTAAGCCTTAAAGTTGTAAAAATTATTCACAAATATCAGATGGTAATTAACAATAGATGAATTGAATTAAAATTGATATTAACAGCTCTAATTAATTTTTAGCGTAAGCCTAATTAATGCTGGTGTCTTGCTGTGGATACGTTTTCCCTTGTAACTTAATCTTACGTATGACTTATATATTTACTCTGATTGTCTATGTACAGCAATGAGATTATTATTCAACCACGATGGATACCGTATCGTCATATACGAGGTGCGATCGGAAAGTTTCTAGACTGCGCGTATAAAAACCCGTACACTTATCTCAGGTATTAAATTCATCCATCACCCTCGAAGTAGTTCCCCTGGGAGTGAACACAACGATCCCAGCGCCGCTGCCAAGCCTGGAAGCATCCCTGGAAATCTTTCTTTGTCAGCCTGCCAAGCACCATCTGCGATTCTGTCTGAATCTCTTCTATCGTCTCAAATCTCATTCCCTTTAG